ATTGATGGACATTCAAGGTGACTTTGAAGACTCATTAGAAAGAAAATAAAACTCCCACTAGGTATTATAATAACTTAAGACACTTAAAAACACTAAATAACCACTAAAAACAAATCAAAAGAAACATTTAAAAATCAGCCTAAAAAAACCTGCGAAAATTACATAAAAAATAGTAAAATAGGCTTAAAATTTATTTGGACCCAAATTAAACAACTTCCTTTATTTCTGGATCATATCATTCCGGTCAAGAACCGGTAAAACCGGTCAAAAACCGGCCAAAACCGGGTTTGAACCGGTTCAGTTTTTCATTTTTTTTTTTTTGAAAAAAAGTGAAAAATACCAAAAAGTAACATTGGAGAGACTTGAACCCATGACCTAAAGGATAAAAACACTCACTTAACCACTAAGCTATTGGATATTTTGTGATATATGAGTTTATTTTATATCTTGAACACATACGCAAATTTGTGCAGTTTTGTGTGTGAACAGCTTGAAATGACACAGTTTGTGTTTGTGGATTGCAGTGTACCACAGACGTGTGCCAGATCAGCCAAATATGTTAATTTTTTGACAGCGGAACTAACATGGATCAAATTTGAAACGTGTTTTTAAATTTCAAAAAACTAATAGATTTGGCTAATCTGGGCACATTTTTCTGTCATATTGCAATCTACATGACATAAACAGCTTGAAACGACACAGTTTTGTATTTGTGTGTGTGGAACAATGCAGTTTTGTGCAGTTTTGCGTGTGTGAAATAATACAGCTTTGTGTTCGCAACATACGCAAATAGCTTCACATGACACTCAAACAGCTTGAAACGACACATTTTTTTGTTTGTGGATTGCAGTGTACCACAGACGTGAGCCAGATCAGCCAAATATGTTAATTTTTTGACAGCAGGACTAACGTGGATCAAATTTGAAACATACAGGACCTAAATGAATAAAAAAAAATACAGGACCTAAATGAATTTTGGCCCAAACATACAGGACCAAAATACTAATTTTTCCTTTAAAAAATAGTTATCTTCTTCCTCCTCCCCATGACTTTAACGGGGATTACCGACGGTTTTTTTGGTTTTAACTGCGGTTTCAACCCCTGGTAAAAACATTACCGGCGGTTCTGAAAACCGCTGGTAATCCATTACCAACGGTTTTTTGGTTTTAACGGTGGTTTTAACCCTTGGTAAAAACATTACCGACAGTTCTAAAAACCACCCCACCGGAAATCGTTTACCGATGGTTTTTTTATTTTAACTGCGGTTTCAACCCTTGGTAAAAGCATTGCCAGCGATTCTGAAACCCGCCGGTAATCCGTCTGCCATAAACATTTAAAACAAGGACCTTTTTGACAAAACACATTTTTATCAGGGACCTTAGTGAAAGACGGAGTTAACGGCAGGGAACTGACGGCGTTTTTTTTTTTTT